TTAAAATTTCAAGGACTAAATAGATACATATTTCAAACTTCAGAAACCAGAAGTGTTCATTTTCAAACTTGTGACCAAATAGATACCTCTTTCAAACTTAGGGACCAAAAATGTATTTTTTCCTTTATTTTTCTTTTTCTAAAAAAAGTCACCAATTTTCAATAAAAATGTCCATATATAAAGCATTGTGTTGAAGAGATAGGCTGGAATAGGCGTGCTTTGAAGTCTTCATCTCTCATGAAAAGTGAATTGACCTGCCCATGAGCCGGTCTGTTTGAGCCATATTTTGATCGGCCCGTTGGGTTGGCTCCAATGCTCGTTTCAATATAATACATTGTATATTTTATATTATATATTTATAAATAAATAATTAGAATTTAGTACTGTTTTATTCTTATTTTAATTAATCTATTAAATATAATTTTCAAAAAAATAATAAAACATAATTTTTTTTAAAAGTAAAATGACTTAAGTTATAAAAATATTATTTAACAAAATTTCTTGATTGCATTTTTGAAAAATAATAAAAATTGTGCAAAATAATTAAAAAAAATAGAAAACTCAAAAACTTTGGTTTGAAAAAATATTTTTAAAATAATTTTTAATGATAAAAAAAACAATTTATTATATGAAGCAATTTAAGGTCGATCCAAAAGTTCAATCCAAGCCATCCAACTTTGGTCTATTGAGTTAGACACATTAATTGGGTCATAAATCTAGGTTTTAGTGGCTTGGTCGGCCCAACAATGATTGAGGCTTGTATAGCATGGACGGATTCAATGATGATGGTGACTTCCATACAACAAGATGTCACCAATCACTTAATGGATTAAGTACACAAGTAACCCATTTGCAATTTCTATTGCAAAAATAATTAATAATGAAATTTTACACTTTCGTCTAAATAAGAGGATTAGTATATTGGTAGGCTATTTAGAGACTACAATTACATAAAAGAATTTAATGTTCAAAATTTACATTTTTGTCATAAATAACCTAAGATGGTATCCATCACCAATTTACTATTATATCTTTTTGAATTTACACATAAATATTAATTATTTTTAAAAATTTAAATTGGTTATGTCGAAGGTTACCTTTTAAATCCTTTATTTTATGCTTAGACTTTTCAAAAATAAAAGTTACCAAATCTTCAAAATACTACCCAAAATCCTCCATTATTGTAAATTTTCAAAAAAAGAAAAAAAGGAAACCTTCTCCTTCCACGTTCCTTTTTCCTCTCTGGTTTGCTCTTCTTTCCACAAACACCATTGTTTCCGTCCGTTCGAACTTTTCGAGGACAACAACCATCCTTTTAAAAAAAAGGAAAGATAAATGATTATAGCATAACTTTTATAATAAAATACGTTGGTTCAGGCGAACCGCAAAATTTCAATTTTGCGGAAATGATGTCTTATCATTGATAGAATTTGATTTCACATTCTACTTTCTTCTTCCATTTTTCTTTTTGTCTTCCTTTTTTTTATTTTAGAAATAATCTTCTTTCTTTCTTTCTTTCTTTTTAGAAATATAGTGAACTTCCTCCTCATACTTGTTATTATTATTAGCTATAATTTATTCATTTAAAAATATAATTTATTATAGATATATATAATTAAAAATTATAATAATTATATATATACATATAATTAATATTATTATTTTATTTTAAAACGAAGAATAGTAATTATAACAATAAAATAATCTTATTTTAAACTTTCTACAGATAATAATAATAAGAATAATAAACTAAAAACAAATGATCATTGATAATAATTTATTAAAATAATAATAGCAGTAGTAGTAATAATAATAATAAACTAAAAACAAATAATTATTTTAGTCATGCTTATTATCAAAGAAAATAATAATAATAATAATAATAAACTAAAAAAATAATAATTATTTTAATCATTTAAAGATAATAATAATAATATCAAAATTAAAAAACTGCAAAAATTGAGATTCAAATAGGTGATATATTTTTGGTATAAGTTAAAAAACATTATTAAAAAAAATGTCCTAGACTTCGTATCTGGTCGATTTTTGTTTTTTTGTGATTTTCACATTTGCTACGTGTCCTGATACGCCTGTGTTTGAACTTGAGACATTTTTATTTATCTTATTTTTTATATAAATTCATATTTTTTATTCTTTTCGTGATTTCCCTATAGTTTTTCTTTCTAACCTGAGTTTTAAAGAAGAAAGAATTCATAGATTATATCTATTTTTTAAAAAAAAAGATTATGAAAAAAAGATAAATTATTGTTTTTTTTATACAAATATGTAAATATTTTTGTTTTGGGTAAAAATATCTTGGACACATGGAGGACGCTTATTGGTGCTCAAGAATTAAAATATCCCAGGTCCACCTCGCACCTGCCGAAGAGGTCGGGTTCGCCCATTGGGAAAAGGCTAAGTATGCATGTCGAAGTCCAATCTGACTGGGGTTCGATCTGCTTGGAACCCGACAGGTCCGACATGAGAAAAAACATGTAACCGCCGGTCGTGAGTACTGTCGGATCCACTACCTATAAATAGAGGGCCTCATTTCATGCTCAGGTATCGAATCTCACCTCGAGCTAAATACTGAGTCCGACCTATACTGACTTGAGCGTCGAAGTGTTTACCCTCTTGTACAGGTCCACTCTTGTGTTCAGGTCGAGCCGGGGACCGGGTTCGAGCTTGGTTTGTAAAGCAT